ATTGGCTCAAGATTGAGTGTTTCCAGCAGGACGGTTGGCATCTACATGCAGGAGATCGGGAAGTAGAAGAAGCTCGATAAGTGGGTGCCGCATGAGTTGACTCAGCACCAGAAAGACAGCCGCTACGAGCTCGCCTCCACCTTGTTTCTGCGCAACAGGAACAATCCATTTCTAGACCGTATTGTGACGTGTGATGAGAAAAGGATTCTGTACGACAGCCGGCGACGATCAGGCCAGCGGCTGTACAAGGATCAAGCCCCACGACATTTTCCCAAGCTGAAGCAGCATGGAAAGAAGGTCATGGTGCTGTTTGGTGGTCTGCAGTCGGGCTGATCCACCACAGCTTCATGGATCCGGGAGAAACCGTAACAGCCGAAAAGTTCTGCCAAGAAATTGACGAAATGCATCGAAAACTCCAGCTCATGAGCCCGGCACTGGTGAATAGGAGGGGACCAATTCTAATCCACGACAACGCTCGGCCTCACGTCGCACAACTTACCCTGAGAAAATTGATGGAGCTAGGCTACGAAGCTCTCCCGCATCCACCATATTCCCCAGACCTTGCTCCCATAAACTATCATTTCTTTAAACTTCTCGACGCTTTCTCAAGGAGAAATGCTTCAAAACCCAACATGATGCTGCCGCGGCATTCGACGACTTCATCGCCTCTAGATTTCCGGACTTCTATGCGAATGGGATACTCAAACTTGCTTTTCGTTAACAAATCTGTGTCGATAGTAATTGTTGTTATTTCGATTGATGAAGTTTCGTTCGAGCCGAGATTTATGCATTTGAAGTTTGAGGCGCGAAACCGCAAGAACTTTCTTCACGACCTAATACAAAACTTTGTCAGACAAAGGGACGAGTTTTGTCCTTATATCTTCGAGGGATTGGTTAGCGGCAGACAGATAGCACTGCCAAGCTAAACCTTGTAGAACCCTGACTTCGAAATAATTTTGGCAAGCCTCCCTCTCCGAAAAGAACTTACAAGTAGGATTGAAAGTCCGAAAGGGAGCTGGAGAAGTGCACTGGTTGCTGCGTGGAGGAGTACCAGTGGAGAAAGATCGTGCTTGTCAGTCATGCCAAAAGGGCCTCAATAGAATGCATCGAGTGTCCCAAAAATTTTATTTCGAATGTTTTTCCGAACTATTTCACGTAGTACAAGTGATTGGCCAGTTGACAACGCTTGATTTTGCTCCTTTTAATACTTTCCTTACATGAACTTTTGTTTTCTCTTATAACTACAGTCGGAAATGTTTTTGGACCACAACGCTTCAAGATTCTCTAGAAGGCTGTGAGCCTAGCTGATACTTGAGAGCGTCGAAAGATATAAAAACGATTAATAAATAATGTGAATGCTATCGTGTCCCGCCGGCGAGCCACGCGGCCGTCAGTGGGTCAAATCGTTACTCAAAAGCAAATTGTTTGTCTTATCTTCCTTCCCTTACAATCTTTCTTTCCTTACTCTTTTTATTGATTTTGTCGATTAGTCGCATACATTACGGTTTATTCTTGATTCCTCGTCAATGCAATGCCTTTGGCAACTCGTACGATCTCAGAAATTTAGTAACGTAACCCTGTTCTTATCACAAAATGAAATGCGTTGGACGCAGAACCTCATGAACAACATGGTTCATCCGACAGGGTAGGGCAGAAAAACCGCACGATTCTACGTTTTAAAAAACACACAGAAGCATGTATTCCAACAAATCTTAAGAACATAAATGGAAATTTTACCTCAATCAGAAAACAATGTTTATTTTTCAGGGAGGGGGCAGTCAAAACACACGAGTAACAAATCTGAGAGAGTGCAGGGGGTGTGCAGAGAGGGAAGTGTGACTCGAACAAAAACGAAAATTAAGTGCAGCACGTTGGTCTTACAGTAATCGTGGCTATACGTCTTGGCTCGAACGAGTGCGCGTTATGCATGTCAGCCCCGTAGTAACCCCACCACCCGCCTAGATACTTCGACGATTCCCTACGAATGAAAACAATATCTCCAACGAGATGAAACGGCTATTCATGCAGCCATAGCGTCCGTGGACCTTCTGAGGAACATTTTCCCAAACCGCTTGTTCAGCTATAATGGAGATATTCAATGGTCACCACGCTCGCCAATCTGAGCCCTTGCCTTCCAAGTCGAAGGTTTTTGAGACTAGCCTAATGGCACAATATTTGAAAACTCGAACTGAACAACAAGTTCGTGCGATAACACCGGCGATGCTAAGATACGTGTCAGCGACAATTTCGGTATGAGACTTAGACATTGTTTTCAAAATGGTGCCTACCTTACTGGCGTCATATTCAAAATTAAGCATGTAAAATATTGAGTTGTGTAAATTTGAATGTCTAATGCTTGAATTAAAATTTCCTTCTGTTTCCTTAAGATTTGAAAATTTCCTTCTGTTTCCTTTACATTTGTTGCAATATATGACAAAAAAAAAACTGTTTCTGTGTGTTTTCTATTACTTACAGTTAAAATGAGGGCAGAGGTGGTGTAGTGGCAAGTGGCGCACTATATCATACGCACGGTCAGGGGTTCGAATCCCGGATCGATGCCCGCCTAGACCAACCAAGCCTTCCATCCCTCCGGGGTCGGTGGATTGGTACCAGACTCGTCTGGGAGGATGAAAGCACTGACTTGTACATCGGCCGGCCACCGCAAGTCATTGTATAGGCCACATACGCACACATTACGCCACTACGATTCTGAATGGAAGTCGAGTGCGGGGGCGCATCCCTCAGACGGGATTGATTAACGCCAGAAACTTTATCCTTTTTAAACTTTATAACAGTTAGAATCGTATTGGACCATCCCACCCTGTACTAATCTTATTTCAACACATCTCCTAACCCTGTCATATATAAAACGCACTAAAAGCAAACTTTTGGACTGGGAAAGTAATTCTTCACATGGATTTAATGCATCCTAAAGGAGTCTTCACCAGGACCCTCAGCCGGATTACTCAGGGATTGGGTAACCGCCCTGAAGGTCATTTTTGTGCTCGCTAAAGTCATGGGAAACTGACATATGTATCAAATAACATCTCGTTGGTCGTGGTTGACCTAGCGACATCTATCTTTCTCATTGTCTTAAAACTCAGAATTCTCTACGATTCTAAGCTTAACCCTTATCTTAGAAAACCGGAGAAAGGAGTTTAAGACTAGAGAAAACCACACCTGGTTCTGAAACAACTTTTTCCTGGGCTTTTCCAATAGCTCATTTTTTTCGAATTTGCACTTACGATAGAGCCTACCTTGGATGTCGGATTAACAAGTGGAATCAAATGATCATCATGAAGCATCGTCTGATGAAAGCGGATAAGAAACTGTCTTATCTAGAACTTATGAGGTGGCAATATTTGCTGTTTCTGCCCATAATAAATATTTTTGGCAGGGAGCACACTAATGCTTGCGAAGCACACTATATATTTTATTTTGAACTGAAACCTTAGGAGCGAATCCACGATTGTTCGGTTCATACATTACACGATTAATGCAACTGTTTTTAATTTTTTGTTGTGAAACAGGACAAACTCTGTGTTAGATGTTAGCCTCAGCTTCTTGCTGAGCTAAATACCTTGCACATTTGTTGTTGCTTCATTCCATGTTTTTTTTAGTATCATGAGAGTAGCGTTAATGGTGAAGGGTTTCCCATTCACTCATTCAAATTGAGCGCTAACAAGGATTTCGTATGCAGGAGGAAATTCGCCTATTGTTTATGGTGACGTCGGGCCCCTTTCTGTGACGGGAGAACGAACTAGGATATTGTCTACCACTTGTATTATTGGTCATTAAAAAAACTAAATTGTGGCTGAGACTTAAATTTTCTGGGAACCTTTCATCTTTCTGCTTTGTAACTTGAAAACGATATAAAAATGTAAAATGTAGTTTGAGACGGGGGAGGGGGCACCGCTCCAACAACACTGAGCCTAGAGCACGGAGGTTAGCCGACCCTACTTGTGCTTATCATTAGAGAGGCAGGTCAATATGGTTCTTCTAGAGGGGAGGAGACTGCAGTAGGTGAGGTTATCACGTTGTGCAAAAAGCTGGGAGGGAGTAAGAAACGAACATTTCATTGGCTCACACACCGCGGTGTTACTTCTCTCCTGAGGCAAATCTATGTAAAACTAATCTCTTCAAAACTGTATCTCATTGCTAAGAAGCGTTCTTGAGCAAAACATTTATAGGATCGCGAAGATGGTCGCGCTCTAGCGTTCAATGTGGGAAAAAAGAGATGTCAAAAAAATTCGTGGAAATCCGCAATAATTATGCATCAAGCATCAACCCAATGATTGTAATAGAGTGGAGGTGGTGCGGCGGTATATGGCGCATTATCACATACGCATGGTCACGGGATGAATATCCGCCTAGGTCAACCAAGCCTTCCATCTCTCCAGGTCGGTTGATTGTACCAGACTCGTCTGAGAGATAAAAGCACTGACTTGTAAATCAGCTAGCAGCCGCTAGTCATTGTATAGGCCACAACTCATTCAGTCCGCCACTACGATTCTAAACGGAAGTCGAATTGGGGGGGGGGGGGGGGGGCGCATTCATCAAACGGGATTCATTAACTTCCCAAGTCTTTATCCTTTGCCTTTATTTTGGAACAAGTTCAAAAATCTGAAAAAATCCCTCTCACGACCGTTTCTGCCAGTGGCCAATATGGTGTACCCAATCCATTTGTTGCTCGAAGCGCCGCTTTACTAATGTTATATCGCCGTTGACATTTTATCGCGGCTAATCTATTTGATTGGTTCCGCAGGATTTTAAAAGGACACTTGTAGTATAAGTACGTATGATGTTGTTGGAAATCGGGACCAATAAGATGGATTGAGTAATCCTCAGAGCATGAAGTTATTTGCCGTTTGTCGAGGTATTGAATTTCGTGGTTATTATTGCAGTTTGCAACGAACGACAATAGATTGATCATCGATGAACTTTCTCAAAAAGATTTCGGTGTCTATCAATGTGAAGCGTCCAATGAGGCTGGCTCAAGTATGAATACGATCTGGGTGAAAGAAGGAATCAGCCGAGATGATGGTATGAATCTTAGGTGTTTTGTACTCTGTTTTTTCCTTTTATTAATTTACTGTTTTCGTGCAAAATCAAAATCACTTGCTCTGTGTATTGTGAGAAACAATTTGCATCTTGCCCACATGTGGCTGTGGAGGCGCTGACATTTTTTCTAATGCGTTAGTTATAAACTTATAATGTTTACATATAGCACACGCGAGAGTACTAAAATGCTACTCCATTTGTTATTCTAATCAATATGAATCCAATAGAACCATTCATGCAAATCAATTTTGTAATCAGTGAAAGCTAATCAGTTCTGAAAATCCACCTAGTAATGGGTGACATAATAATTTATTCTATGTTCCGTTCTCGTTTAATTTCTCCAGTCTATCTGAATAACATAAATGTGTGGAACGATGAATGGCCTTGTGAACCCACGCGCTATATGTTATATATGCCTACGAATGTTATATTCAACGTATCTCAAATTCTTTTTGGTCTTCTTTATGTAGTCTTTCCGAGATGCTCTTGGAAATCGGAAAGGTGTCTTTGCCGGCTCAGAGAGTGAGTGCAAATTTGAGTACGATACATCTTTTGGATCGCTACATTTTTTGTCCTCCCTGCATGATGAAGAATTTCGGTCACCACAGGAACATTGCCTTAACCAGAAACCTGCATTGAGCCTGGATAGAACTTGGTCTACTCATTGTCAGTACGTTGTGAACTTGGTAATAGATCATGCTGCCATATTCTTTATTTAAACTTATCAGTTACCTTTTATTGCGGTCATTTGAGTGCTCCTTCATATATCATGGAAATTGCTCGAGCTTTCCTTTTCTGGCCTCAGTATAGGTTTGAAACCCATGGGGAGGAACAGATAAGGTGCACAAAACATATATATATATAAATAAATAAATATATATATAAGTACAGCATATGTTAGCTTAAATCTGTAATGTGTATGAAAGCTGCAGCGTTTCTTTCAGAGTTTGCTGATTAGTCGTGGCCAATACTATTTGATGGGTGCACTTTTGTTTAGGCTGAAAAATCCTCACAGCTTCCGAACAGGCGCTGTGACGTGTTATTGATTGATGTTCTATAGTCTTCGAAATTCTCTCCGTGACTGAAGTGGCTTCAAGGGTGCAAAAAGCTCGGCGAAATGGCGATTGAGTGAATAATTGTACTGTCTGAATAATTGGAGCAACGCGACCTTCATATTTGAAGTAGACCATTTGCGCTCGCCGGTTACGCTGTGGTCATCGAAGGATATGTGTCGATTAACTAGGGTGGTCGACAAAGTGCTAGAATCGACAAGGACGTCCGAGTTTCTTACAGCCGGCCTATCGCAGCTAAGCAGCTTCGGGTCAGATGGTTTTGAGAAGCTTGATGGCTCTGCAATGCATGACTATGATTACGCTGTGGCCTATTGATAATGCCACGCATTTAGATGTCAGTGGTACCCTTTGAGTAATTTCAAGTTGTAAACAAAGAGTTTTTTCATTTGGGAATAGTCAACGTTCAAAAGTCAACGGTTTCGACTTATCAGGTTGTACTACTCATTTTTCACCCGAATGATATTCAATCATTTAGCCCAACTGGGAGATTGGAATAGTGATGCCTCTCCGGAAGAAAGCCTCCCTCCCACCCCACATTTCTGTATCGCTTTCTCATACCTGGAGTACATTGTTGTCAAGAAGCATATGTAACTGACTGCATCGGGAGGACTGAGTTTGTATCAAGGTATAATGTCACGCCAGGATTAGATTCTTGAAAAAATAACCCCAACTAGCTGGCACATGAATCGCCACTCAACAGATTATGGCAAAACACTTTCTCAACATGATATTGAATTTCATGTAATCAGCAAGGAGTTCTAATGATTTTGGAGATTAACAAAACCGATCTGCATTCAGGACTGATGCAGTAACAATGTTGAAGTCGTCATCGTAATTGTAGTTTCCTTCATTTACTCCACATTTCTGTATCGCTTTCTCATACCTAGCTATTGACGTCGTCTCTAGATTTTCAACGCGAGGGTACAGAAACAGCTTGTAATAAGCCCATCATATAATAGTTTAATACAGTAAGAACCAATCGAGATGGTGTTGCTTAGGATTAGCCCAAATTACAGACTAGAAATAGAAGAGGAATTTCGACTCCTCCCTAGCATTGACATTCTCGCATAAAAAGCCGTGTGACAGGTCTTTACACAGACATCATGATTTTTCTGATTAATTCCAGTACGGATTCACTCCCTTCCTTGCTTAAAATTCTGCTCATGGTCACGTTTACCTTGAGATCTCTGGAGTTATGTGGGTTCTAACTTTGACTTTTCAATTCTCTTTCAATGTTTCCAGAGTCCTTGCCTCCCGATGAAGAAGAGCTTTCATTGGAAGGGATTGATCAAAAGAGTATGCCTGGCGCTCCAGTGATCATTTCACCACCAAAAGATGTCTCGTTTGCGGTGGGAATGGAAAGCTTGAAGTTGAACTGCGTTGTCAGTGGACTACCGGCGACTTCTGTAACTTGGCGATTTAATGGTGGGCCATTCTCTACTAAGCACCTTGTAAAAATTTATTCCTTTCCATGTAAAACAGTGCTGAAAACTTGTAGCAGTTTGTAAAAATCGTTCACCATTCGGGTGTTGAAGGGTCACCTAAGCATTATTCAGGACACATGCGAGTACGATACGGATAGACCTATGAGCAGATATACAGCTTCATAAACAAGCGTTCTCATACCTGTGAACATGTGAAACTGGCTTGCCAACAATAAAATCCATGGGGTGTTACAGGAGTCGACATCGCAACAGATTCAACGAAATATGACGTCACCAGTAATAGCCTTGTGATTCATGAGCTAAAGAAATCTGATAGTGGGAGCTACAGCTGCATAGCAAAAAACATTAAGGGAGTGGCAAACGCTACAGCCCAGGTGAAGTCGACAGGTGGGTGACATGATTATCACAAGTCGGGCTTTGACCGTCGCAGCCTGCTAAATTGTTTCAGGGTCGAATATGATTGAGTTTGGGCCGACTAATCAGAGCGTTGTGATCGGTACAAATCTGATGATTCCATGTGAGGTCAGCTCAGAGTATAAGCACAGTGCACAGCTAACGTGGTTTATCAATGTGAGTTTGCATAGTTGTGTGATTTAGTATTAGTGATGGTTTCTTTTCTCTTCTCATTCTTCTCTTCTCTTTCTCACCGATAAAAGATTGGTTTTTTTCAGGATGAACCGATTCCGAACCACGGGAATCCAAGCCTGCGCCTAAGCCGTGCTCCAAACGGCGGACTTCTCATAAAACAAGTGGGGCCAGATAGTATTGGAGAGTATCGATGTACGGTTCGAGCCAACGGACGGGAGGAAAGCGCGTCAGCGTATTTGCGAATAATTGGTTGGTTCATATTGTAAAGTCACAATTTCCTGACCTTCTGGTCACAGATTTATGAATATTGATCATGTCAACATTTCTCTTTGCAAACAGAAATGTTGACATCCTGAACATTGCTTCAAAGCATAAAAAAAACCATGATCGGTCGACGATTTGGAACGTTTCGTGTTACTCAAAATTGACTGAGGTAGAACAAACAGGGAACACTCGTTTTATTGATCTAGTTTTCGCTTTGTTCTGGTTTCTCTTTCCCGACTTTTGAAAATTCTGGATCAGATTTGATTCTTGGTATTCGATTGACCGAATGTGATTGACTTTGTCGACTCTCCACTGACAATAGTGCTATCTTGTAAGAAACCGCTCTCTAACATGATTCCATTTGAGAACGACCACAAATGCCAACTTTTGTACGTGCTGAACTAATCAACACTACCTTACCAGTCAAGATTCGTGTTTCTTGGATCGCAGGTTTCGATGGGAATTCGCCTATCATCAAGTAGGTTTCTTTCTTCTCAAACTATCATGTATGCAATTATTTTCGAACTACCAAAGGCATACTATCGAAATGCGAGTTCTTGGTCCGACGCAGTTGTGGAGCGACTGGGAAGTTGTTGTGGATAATGTGCCTACCGAAGTGGGATTGGTCGTTTCAGTCGTAATTCTTGAACGCCCCTGTTGGCTAATATGTTGAAATGGGGGAATATGTTTTTACTAGTGGACTAACTGAGAGCCTCTTAGGAGTGTTGCTCTGTTCTTATTGATAATCTGCGACCATCAGTGACTGCGGAGTTCCGTGTAATCGCCTCGAATCGATACGGATCTGGGAAACCGTCTTTGCCGTCTGGTGAGGTCTACAATGGTGTATTCGTAGAATGTCGTAGTTTTTACAAGATATGATGTTTTTAATATTGTGTTTGCGGATTCATTTATGAAAACGGCTTGCCGAGTATCACATTTCTTTAACATAGCTTGAGAAATGGGAGGGTACGTCCTCATAATAGCTTTTCTTTCCTTCTAATTGGAAGTACTTTAAAACACAGCTCACGATAAGAATGGTTTCTAAGAATTCTCCCTATGATGAACCTAAAACTTCGGAGGATAGCACAACGGGCGCTGTCGGGATGAAAAGCAGCCTGGATAGGGCCTGAAAAGAACATCAAAACCGGCTCAATTGACGCACACGTCTCGAAGTTCTTACGGCGATGTGGAGGCTGTAGAGGTTGCACCAATGGCACCGGGAGCACACGTTGTACTCAGGCAACATACTCTAGTCACAATCGCCACTCATTTGAACGACTCGTCGAAATACCCCCTCCATGCAACTTTTGTCGTCACATTTTTGCCCAACCTCTAATTTTAGTGCCTTTTTGAAGTTCTACATTTCTCTAAATGCGACGAATTCCGCAGATTATCATTTACATCAGTCGTCTGAAACCAGTGTCCCAAAATTATTGTGAGCGGTGCATTTAATTTTCACCGCGTTTTGATTTGTTTTTGTGAGATAACTCATTGCCATGTTGCAAATTATAACAGATGTGGTTTGAAGATCAAAACCCAAAATAGTGAATAAAAGCCAAAAATTTTTATGCTACATGCCTTTTCGAAGGATCAGTCAATAGTGATCCATAATAAATGACGTTGATTTTCAATATTTCGTTTTGTGCGCATTTTTCCAAATAGTTTCCTTTGAAAATCCATTTCGAAATGTTCACTAATTGTTAGCGAACGTCACGATGCCACAACAACCGCCTGCAGCTGCGCCACGCAATGTAGCTGCTTCGGCGCGATCAGCTAACAGTATCATTGTGCAGTGGCAGCAGCCGCAAGAAGAACTCTGGAGTGGAGACATTCTAGGATACATAGTTCGGTAAGTGATGAAAGTTATGTTCTAAGTTATTGAAATTTCGTGAATAATGGAACCTGGCAAAGAGTCACTGTTCGTTCTCTTAAAACGAAACTTTAGTTCAAAGCTTTGATGTTGCTACAATATTTGAGAGTTATCCAATGTCCAGTCCCAAGAGGGCGAATGTAAGATTCCATCGCACATTACTTACTCTCCGCTCGCACTCTCCTTCACTCATGTGCGAGCGCTTTCAACAAACCGTTCGCTTCTGTCTTTCGCGATCGCCATTCAGAGTAGACTCAGAATTCGACGAAGATGGCGATGTGAGGAGTCGTTTAGCTGCTTCCAGCGCTGTTTTACGTGGTCGACGAGCACATCCCTCCATCTCGCAGCAGGCCTACCCTTAGATCGTGTAGATCCTACGATAGCCCACTCGACTGTTCTTCTCGTCCATCTGTTGTCATCTCTTCTCGTTATATTAACGGCCCACTGAAATTTTGCGTTTTTCATGTATTCCACCGGATCGCGAAGTCGAGACATTCTGCACAAATCGGAGCTGCGGAGTCCGGCTCGATATTGAGTGGGCGATCGAACCTCAAAAGCATCGCTCGAGCGCTCTGTGGCTTGTGCTCAGAGCCCTTGACGTGGATGCATTGATCACCAAAGTCTCCGACCCGTAAGAGAGCGCAGGAAGAACTGTGGAATCGAACAGATTAGCGCTACGTTCCGGGTCAGCCAGATGGTTGGTGACCTCTTTCAGAGGTCCGAAGGTGCCCACGCTGCTTTCTGCCATCTCACCAGCTCTTCCTTCACGGTGTTGTCCATATTCATGGAACTCCCGAGACAAACGTAGAACGACGTTCCCTTGATAGGCGTACCATCGATCTTAATTTGACCTCGTCAGCCCAAGCATTCTTCATGAACTGTGTCTTTGTTCGGCTGATCCACAGCCCTGCCTTCTTTCCTGCTTTATTGAGTTCAGCAAGCTTAGTCTCAGCTTCCACAACGCTACTCACAAAGAGAACGATGTCGTCCGCAAAGCGGAGATTTGGGAGGAACCAACCATCCACAAAAATGCATCAGTTTAGCGACTGCATAACTCACTATAGTGCAGCTGTGAACAGTTTTGGCGGAATAGTGCCGCCTTGTTTCACGTTCTTCCTTAAGTGAATGGCTAAAGATCGTTGGAACAGTTTCACCGTCGCGCTGCAGCGACTGCTGCAGTCAGCTAGTGTTCTTATGTAAGCAGGGACTACTCCTTGATCGACCAGTGCTGACAGGACCACATTCGTTTCGACGGCGTCGAAAACTTTTTTATAGTCACCAAAGGCAAAAAAGGATGCATGGAATTCTCGGTACACTTCGATACCATTTCTGCCACTTCGATGTGGTCTGAGCAGCTGAATCCCTTCAGGAATCTTGCCTGCTCTACAGGTTGTGCTTCATCCAACGCTTGCTATACGAGTGCTGGAATGATCTTAGTGAACAGTTTTTAAAGCACGTTCAACAACCTGTTGGGCGGTACTCACGGTCTACCTTATTGTGAGAATGATCATTTACGATTTCCTCCACTGGTTGGGTATCTTATCCTTCTGGAGTAAAAAGCAAAAGCAAAGGTGCTTATCTGATTCGGTCAAGGGTATACCTGAAAAAGGCAAGTAGAGGGCAAGCATTATTCCGTAACCATGTACCAAGCCTGCTTACTTTCCACAATTTTCAGTTATCGACTAGCTGGATATACACTCCCATGGATTGAAAAGAATGTTACGACGAAAGACGCGCGAAATACGGTGGGTGATTAACGATTTTACACTTTTTTACGATGTTGTTTCATCTCACAAGCTCTTTGAATATTGATAAAACATAGGCCTCACATTTTACTCGAGTACTCGTGCTTATTGGGTTCCTTATACTACAAAGGCTGCTTGTCTTTACCTTCTTAACGGCTTCTGAGCCGTAGCTTATGAACACTCACTCGTACGACGTGATGAGCCGGTCAGCCGACATCGGTATTGAAGCTTGAAGCTTCAAGCCATACTAATTGACTTGAGTGGCAGCTGAGGTATGGTTGTTAATGAGTCATGTTACTCCGCATGAAGCGGAGGTCTACAGATGGCTATGCTCGCTTCTATAGATGGAGGACGCTGTTCGCATGATGGCCCTGATGTTCTCTTTTTTTTTGAACTTTTTAAGTTATTCTCGAATCCATCTCAATGTCTTCTTCGCAGCGGAGAAAAGTCGCTACTCGTGCTCCTTCCTAAAGGTCAGCACTCGCTGTCATCATCGTTGTCAAATACATTTTCTTTGAGCATTCTTAAGCAATTCCAGCCGCAGAACATACTAGTGGATGAGTCGGTCCGCGTTTTTTATGCATTTCAATCCTTGTATTATTAGTTTTCTTCGTCCACCGAAGCGGTCCACTTTTGGAGCTGGCACTTCTTGTAGCGGTGGAAATTGCTGAAAAAAAAACTGAAAGAGCAGAGAGCTGAAAGAAGCGATGACATCTTAAAGAACACTGCGCTCGTGTAGTGGTTCCTTGAAATCCAGCAGCTCGCTGTTTCATTTATGTTCGAACCTTTCCAAGCTTCCAAGATTTAGAAACTCAGATCAATATACTTAATCCTACGGTAAGTTAAAGGCACCGTTCACGATAAAAAAGTTATTGAGTTCTTACCTTATTAGTACTCAGCGGCCGCCATGGGTTGTAGAAGGGACTCTCCCATTCCCCCAATCTCGACGTCCAGGGCATAGTGGCAGCCCCGTTGTTGCCGTAGTTCGCGTTCCCGCTCCTCGATCGGTGTCACGTTAGACGAGTGTCGAGACAATACAGACTGCAACTATTCGTTCTAGGACCCTCGCACAATCAGCTAATCGCCGAGTGATGAGGCGACGTTTTTCTCCCATTCTTTTTTCCTCTGTTTTTCTTTTTGCTCCCGCGATCCCTTATTTGATTTCCTACTATTAGAGGCTGAAAAAGGTGAGCTACTTTTGCTGTCACTAGGGTTTTTATGTTTATTTATGCTTATAAGTGAATGAATTTTCTCTTACAATTGTNCGATCGGTGTCACGTTAGACGAGTGTCGAGACAATACAGACTGCAACTATTCGTTCTAGGACCCTCGCACAATCAGCTAATCGCCGAGTGATGAGGCGACGTTTTTCTCCCATTCTTTTTTCCTCTGTTTTTCTTTTTGCTCCCGCGATCCCTTATTTGATTTCCTACTATTAGAGGCTGAAAAAGGTGAGCTACTTTTGCTGTCACTAGGGTTTTTATGTTTATTTATGCTTATAAGTGAATGAATTTTCTCTTACAATTGTCTGTTATTCGCACCAGGGCCCGCACGCGCGCAGTGAAACACACTGTTTAGCTCGTCCGGACCCCCCACTCTTCTTCATTTTTCTGGTTTCATTCCCGTCTAGTCCCCTTTTTAACGTTTTTTCGAAGCCTTCTATCATTTTGGAAACACCGATGCACGCAGTTTCTTCACCTCAGTCGCACTAGTTTCGATCTTGTCTTCCATTTTTCATCATAATCTGGATTACCCAAAATTATCGTGAACGGTGCCTTTAAATATTCCCTCGCGCTCATTTCCTTCTGCATAAATCGCTGAAGATTTTTGATGATGAACACGTGACGTAGTTTGATGTGGAGGTATTGAATGAGCATATCTCGGAATTCACAGTTATGAGGTACAACTCAAGTATCATTACTCTAATATTCACCATCTAGGCTATCGACCAGCTGATTACATGGCGGGAATATGAGATCCAGGTTGCAGCATATAATCATCGAGGATTGGGTGTCTTCAGCAAGAGTATTGATGTGACGACTGCCGAAGGAGGTACTTTCATGCAACAAGGCATTGAGAAAATGACCAATTTAGCTCTCTGTGTGAACATTGCCCAGCAAAAGAAATTAGGTTTTTCAGAGAAAATTCTGTACTTTCCCAGAAGTGTTACGTTATAATACAGCACCGATGCTAAGCCCTAACGAAGCAGAGAAGCAGTTCAAATATGTTGTGGTCTTTGAAACGCTGTCTTACTCAAAGATAGCAGGGCATAGTCCTATATCGCTGCTAAATAACACAGCTCGGGTACTGGGTAATGACTAATGGTAGCCAACAGGCTTGCAAGCAAGAGGGACAACTCCATTTTCATCCGGGAAGCTCTTACTTTGAATGAGGCTACTTACAAAAAGTTATAAATCTTCCGAAACCCTCAAAATCGACAAAATTTTATATAGCACCATACAGTGTTCATATATGCGGGTTCCTACAGTAGGCGGACAATTTCTTTTAATGCGGTATGATCGCTAAAAAGCCTGCAAGTTTAGAATGGCCAATCTGTTGGGAAGTGGTTAAGAACTCGAAAGGTGAAAGTGCGCTCAAATTTGTGGGGCATACTTGAAGTAGGAGATGTTCGCACAAAAGTTTTGAGATTCGTTCAATGTTCTGCCAGAGTTTATGAGAGTTGAGAGCGGTTAGCAGAAGTTTTGAAGAAATAAGATGTCCATAATAGGTTTGGCGTTACCCATCGGCAGGATGCTCTGGCGATTGAGTGAAGTAGGGGCTGAAGCAAATCTTTATTTGAATTTTCATGGTTAGTTCCTGTAACACTGCGCAACCATCTGCCAAGTCACAGGTTACAAGGAATCGACTTCGGATTTTCCTCAGGACAGCTGTATAATGATGGGTTCATATACTACAAAGTTGCAACCTTGTGTCAGAGTCTCTCCAAATATTTTGTAAAAGAAAACAAATATTAGCAGGATCTCCAGAAAGAAAAATTTCGGCCGACGAAAGAGTCTTGGCAAGGTCTCGAGTGGTTCTGTGGTTGAAAATTGTGAAACAGACAGGATCATAGATGAGCTTAACTTGGTTTTTGTTGTTCGAACTGGAATAATTTGCAGTTACCTTTTTTGTGCAAATGGCTTGAAACAACGGAGAAGAACTTCAAGCGAGTACTGTTGTGGAAACTGAATGTTGCGTGAGTTCAAGGGTATTGACCGAACTCGGCTCCTAGAGACCTCGAAATGGGCAATACTGACTAAATAGTTTCATAAGTCTGTTTCAGTGGAGCGCATAGGCAAAGTCGTGTAAATGGGTAATTCCTTAGGCGCTCCGCCCACGATGAGTGGAATGTGCTCGCAGATTAGAGGGCTTCCTACAAATTTTCATAAGCTTCAGAGTAAAATGAAATCAAATTCACAAATGTTTTAAAATCTAAAAGTAATAGGCTGTTGAGGAAGACGTCGTCAATCTCATAGTGGGCGGGGTGTGCGCTTAGGTGGGCGGGGTCATGGCAAAAATTTCTCAACTCTCATCAAAAACGTTCTAGAATCCGAAAAAGTGGAGGCTGTCGAGGAAAGGATGGCCAACTCTTAATTTCAGGCGGAGTTATTTTCATATAGGGCGGGGCTTGTAAGTGGAGCTTCGATGGAAAAGTCATCGTCTCTTGAAAAACGTTTTAAAATCAGAGAAGGGGCTAGGCTGGCGAGAAAATCGTGACAAGGTCTTCATTTTCTCGATGAGCGGAGCTTGATTGTAAGTTCGGTGAAGATGTGAAAATGTCGTTGGGTCGGTGTGAAAGAGCTTTCTACTTTTTGCAATAATCTTCTTATCCACTCTCGAGCTCTTGCCCTCCTGAGGCTTAGTTAAAAAACCATATCCCTCCGAGTAAAATTGCACTGCACAAATATCCGGAGCCCATTCTTCGTCCCCGACACAGTGCTATTATAACATGGATTAACGCATATGTAGCACCGTAAACTTTCCTGTTATACAACTCTGCCATGCGTTTCTGCTATTTTGTTTCTGCTATTCTGTACTTGCTATTTCTGCGTTGAAGTTTACCCTTTCAGTTCCGACTCAAGCTCCTAAAAATGTGATCGCGAACGTGCTTAACTCAACAGCGGTTGAAGTCACATTCACGGCGCCGGATCAGCAACGAGTCCCTGGAGTTAACCTGGGATATAAGGTAACACCTGAAGAGATTGCAATAAAAAAATTTGCTTTGGTAGAAAACAAAATTCATAAAGTTTTTGCCAGAAAGGCTAGTGTTTCAGGTAGAGTTTTGGAAAGGCGTACCGCTTCATAGTGATCTTTATCGTCAAGTGCTAGTAGATCCAACATCTACTGATCTCAAAGTGATTGTCGATGACCTAGAAAAATTCGGTTATTTTTGCTGAACTTTTCTTTCATTTTCTGCTTCAAATTTCAAGTTATTGGTAACAACTTCCAAACTAGGTCATTACAATCTCACGGTTCTGTGTTACACCTCTCCCGGGGACGGTCCACGCAACCCTCCAGTTCTCGTTGTAACCGATGAAGACATGCCGGGACCAGTGAACGGGCTAAGCATTGCTGAAGTGAGTGAGCATGAAGATTTGACAAAATTCATTCTTTAACTATTTCAGTTGTTGTTACTGCTCTTGCTTTTTTCCACCTTTTCCACTGCTGTTGATTGCATTCTTGTCAAAGGTTAAGTTTACGATGATTTTGGGGTATCTAGCTCTTGTCGAATACTGGACGTGATAGGGAAGAGTGGTGCAAAAGTGGCGAAGAAAACGCAAGAGTCGTCGCATTTAAAGAAGTACAAGGCTTCAAAAAAGTAGTGAAAATAGGGGAGACGGGCGTTGGGAACGATTTTGGGTAACCGATTTGCCGCACGCGGCTGTCGCGGACCACTCATTCGCCGTTATTACAGCTCTAGCGCTCTTCATACAGCTCAATCGATATGCGATCATTATTTTATACATAATTCTACTATTAGTACCTTTGTTCTTGTATTTCTTACCCACTGCTGCATTCTGCTACATTCCTACGCGCGCGACGCCCCTCTCACCGCGACGCGACCATTTCGTTCCTAACTCACCACACCCGTGAAATTAGGCATTGGACGAGAGTGCAACAACAAAAGTTGCATAGAAGGGGTATTTAGAGGAGCTGTCCAAGTGTGTGTGCCATTATGTAGAGGTGCCTTTGTGCAATGTATGCGTCCAGGTGCCAATGGTGCAGCCTCCGTCTCCACAACGCCACGACAACTCCTTCGCATTTGGATTGTACGTTTTCTGAGCCGAAAAGCCGATTTTGGGAACAATACACCTCATTCAAACCGTTTTTCGATGAACAGTGTCCCTTGTGCTATGCTTGGGGATCATAGGCTCTCCAGGAACGTAAACTGTGCCTTCGAATAGTGTATTTTCATGAAGCCAGTATTCCTAGGTAATGCTCAGTAGCGCGATCATTATGTGGGAAGCGGTGCGAAGCTTGGGTCGTGGGTTCTCCACGAAAAACTCTCATAAGCCATTTTTTCGTGAGCTGTGCCTTGAATCTAGTAATTTTCATGAAGTCTGTATTCCTAGGTGATGTTCAATAGTGCAGTCATAATGTGGGACCTTCCTGAACATCCTAACGGCATAATCACTCGCTTTGTGGTAGGTTTTGTCAGATATGAACCAGGTTCCCAGTGATGTCGCGATTTTTTTCTTTCAGTTGCGGTACTGGAACGATGTGTCTCCAGATGAAAAAAGCATAATTGAATTTGAAGGCTCGCAACGAAATGCCACACTAGAGGGTCTGTCTCCATCGACTCACTATACGGTACAGTTTTTGCAACTGTGAAGTGATTCTAAAAATATTGCTTACCAACGCCGGGCCTAGTACCATACTTTCACAAGTAATAAAAATGTATTCAAGGTAGGGGAGAGGGTATCGCTTCATTCAACGCTAAAGGCTTGAGTGCAGAGGAGGATGAGTAGCCAATCTTACATGTGCTTCGAGTCGGTTCTAGGCGAAAGAGTATAGCTTTTACCTAAGCCCCAGGAGGGGAAGAGCGCCGGGATGGGGATGCGATGATCATCTCGTGCAAAAAGCTAGTATGCCAAGCTTACCCAACCCGGTGCTCCTTTCCTCGTGAAGCTCACGTCAAAAGACTGGACGTTTCTCGGAAAGAAACGTTCCTGAGCACATCTGGCTAACCTCATCTGCGCTCTAACGCTCAATGTGAAGAAAAGAGAGACCTTCCAACTATTAGGTCGTGAAGAAAGTTTTTGCGTTTTTTGACGCCTAGTTTCAACTGCTCGCCCCGGTGTTATTCTCTATTAGATTTTTTGCAGGTTTTATACCATTCTGAAGCGCATTTCTTGCTCTATCCAAATATATAATCGGTTTTTCCCTGGAATAATTCCTGGGGTTTATTAGAAGGTCGAAATCAGCATGGACAAACGACAGATCCGCACGATTTTTCTTTTCCAATTCAAAATGGGCAGGAGTGCAACGGAAACGGACCGGGATATCAACGATGACTTAGATCTAGGTACGACGGATTGACGCACAGCACAGTGGTCGTTTAAAAAATTCCGTACCGGCGATGAGAGCCTGGAAGATGATGAGCGTAGTGAGCGGCCATCGGCCGTTGACAACGAATAATTGAGAGCGTTAATGGGAGAGAATCCACGTACAACGCTGAAGGATATTGGCTCGAGATTGAGTGTTTCTAGCAGGACGGTCGGCACCCACATGCGGGAGATCGGGAAGTCGAAGAAGCTCGATAAGTGGGTGCCGCATGAGTTGACTCAGCACCAGAAAGACCGCCGCTACGAGCTCGCCTCCGCCTTGTTTCTGCGCAACAGGAACAATCCATTTCTAGACCGTATTGTGACGTGTGATGAGAAGAGGATTCTGTACGGCAACCGGCGACGATCAGGCCAGTGGCTGTACAAGGATCAAGCCCCACGACATTTTCCCAAGCCGAAGCACCATGGAAAGAAGGTCATGGTGCTGGTTTGGTGATCTGCAGCCGAGCTGATCCACCACAGCTCCATGAATCCGGATGAAACCGTAACAGTCGAGAAGTACTGACAAGAAATTGATGAAATGCATCGAAAACTCCGGCTCATGAGCCCGGCACTGGTGAACAGAAAGGGTCCAATTCTACTCCACGACAACGCTCGGTCCCACGTCGCACACCTTACCCTGAGAAAATTGATGGAGCTAGGCTATGAAACTCTCCCGCATCCACCATATTCCCCAGGCCTTGCCCCCACAGAATACCATTTCTTTAAACATCTCGACGGCTTTCTCAAGGAGAAATGCTTCAAAACTAAACATGATGCTGCCGCGGCATTCGACGATTTCATCTCCTCTAGATCTCCGGAATTCTACGCGAATGGGGTAAACTAACTTGTTTCTCGTTAGCAAATGTGTGTCGATAGTAATGGTTGTTATTTCGTTTTATGAAGTTTTGTTTAAGCCGAGATATGTACATTTGAAGTTTGAGGCGCAAAAACGCAAGAACTTTCTTCACGACCTAATACATTATCACCTCAAATTTTTTGTAAAGGCATACATAGCATGATGCCAGCACAATTCGAAATAAAAGTTTCGAAGTAACCACTCCACTCAACATCACTCACTTCACTCCGCATTTTCACTCCATTAACCTACCTACAAAATTACTGCCTTACATATGAGAATGAAGTGTAGAATAAAGTTACGTTTCTATATCACTACCTTTATCGTAATCAGTTACCTTTATCGTAACTTTTGCGGACGGGCAGACCGACATACCGACATACCGACAAACCAAGTTACTGCACTATATATGAGAGAGATATTGTAAGTAATGTTCATTCGTGTTGGGAGGGGCTATGACGTACGTGAATGGTGTTCCTCACATTTTTTTTTTCTAAGATTTGATATCGTAAAAGCTACGGTGACTTAAACAGCTGTGATACTACTGAATTTTTTCGGGATTTAATCGAATGAGAACCATTTATAGGTCGATGTTATGGCATCCACTATGAAAGGAGACGGACCTCGTGAAGAGACTAAATTTGAGTCCGGTGTTCCACCTGGTAGGGTTTAAACAAATCCACATGCGGCCATTTGACAGTATGGTGCCGAAGGCTTTTTCTTCAGAATTACCCGGTAGACCGAGCTCGCTGACTTTGTCAGATATCCGTGCCAGATCGGTTCTGCTGAGTTTCGTGCCTGGTTTCGATGGTCATACAGCCATCCGGCAGTGGATTGTTGAAGCGAAGGTGGCCGATTCAAGTGTTTTCCAAGTTGTTTATAACGTGAGGTGGGTGAAACTCCAATTATACGGCAATTTTGTACATTGACATAGGAGAAAGTGTGGGACGGTGAAGTGCAAATATCCCAAATATCCAGTGAGCACCTAGTATATGTTGTCTTAGTTATCATTTTTCATCCGTTGCCTTCGATTATAGGTGCGGTACGGTGCTAAACTTCCGCACCCATAATTGTAGTACGATCCGTACACTAATGGAAGCTGATTCCACCAGGTTCACCTGAGACGTCCTTCTTCACAGGACTGTAAATTTGGAAACTGAAGCCACGTGTTAAATTTCCTCGCAAGAATTCTTTTCGAATATTCTTTCTCAGTGAACAATTTTCAGTGCCCCGAAGGCGCGTTCAATCACGGTACGCGGACTTCGACCGTACACCCGATATCAAATGCGCCTGATCGCTGAGAATGTGAGAGGTCGTGGTGCTCCGAGCGAACCATCCATAGCTTTTGAGGTGAGATTTGTTTTTGGTGGTGCTGTTGTTGCTCTCATATACGTTTAAGAAGTTGGATCGTCGCAATATTCTTCAACTAGTAATCAGTCTGGGGTAGTACTGACAACACTTGCTCGAACTTCTGCTCGTGACACGGCTGCCATTCTGATTCATCAAAAAAAACCCTCCAATACCCTCGCACTCCATCGTCCTTGAAGTTTTATAATATTTTTCATTATTTTTCAGAAAAAAGATTCGCCGATCAGCCTAATATATGTAGTTTTCGTATTGCTTACGTGTTGACTTAATTTCGCTCTTCTACTATTTGTTTTTGTTCAATATCGTCAATACAAGCGACACTATCTTTATGATCCTTTCTAAACAGTTTTTTATGGTGGAACAGCTTTATTCGGTTTGCAGTTCGTACATGTAGTCGTCGCCAAAGGCTTGAAAGTGCTTAGGACATCTTGATATGGACTCCCACCTCGGTCATGTGCCCAAAAGAACTTGGCCGAGTTGAACATTTACTTGAAATTGGGACTCTCAATAAAATTACCGTGTTCCTGTGCAGCGTTGATTATACAGCTATGTAAAAGGACGGATGAGACACCACTGGCAGCCGTCTATATGTGTAAAGAATGGGCGGTGATATCAAAGCGGAGGTGGTGTAGTGGCAAGTGGCGCACTATATCACACGCACGGTCAGGGGTTCGAATCCCGGATCGATGCCCGCCTAGGCCAACCAAGCCTTCCATCCCTCCGGGGTCGGTGAATTGGTACCAGACTCGTCTGGGAGGATAAAAGCACTGACTTGTACATCGGCTGGCCACCGCAAGTCATTGTATAGGCCACATACGCACTCATTACGCCACTACGATTCTGAATGGAAGTCGAGTGCGGGGGCGCATCCCTCAGACGGGATTGATTAACGCCAAAAACTTTATCCTTTACCCTTTATTATTCAAGATGGCCCAGTGCTTCTGAGTGCATGACCGAGTGAGCCACATATCAAAAGCTTCGAACTGCTTACACTTTCTTAGTGACGATGTTGTCTTTGAAAAGTAGATCAAACAAGGCAGTTATGTAATAATACAACAAACGTATTTGTCAAAGATTGTGCAATGTCAAGGCTCCAATGAGACTAAAATTGAAGATATTAGAAGACGCAAGCATCACTATTTCAGACGAGACAAACTAGTCCAGAAACACCTGCATCTCGTCTTTTTGCTGAACCCCTCTCGTCGACGTCGTTATCCCTGTCGTGGACGCCATTGTTAGCCAATCAGTGGAATGGTCAGCCAAAGGGCTATCTGATTCTCTACAAAGAAGGTGCTATGGAGCATTGGGTGAGTGGTGGCATTCGTAAGGCTGATGAATCAGAGTCGTTTCCTCGCTGAAGCTCGTCCTAGGTTGCAGTGTGATTTTCCCGTGACAGGGTTATTCTTGTTAGAAGAAATGTATCATTTTTTGAGCCAAAATGGAATCTGGCTTGTTGAGTATTTGCTTCCATCGTCTGTAGATGAAGTTTCAACTTTTTCTGAATTCTCGAGTGGTAATAGGTCTGTGAAAATCTCCTTTTTAAGCATGAAATACGAATTCCTTCATTGCGTGCTAGCGACTTCACACTACGCGACCTCCGTCCATACACCACTTATGAAGTGCAGCTGTTTGCAGAGAATATGTTTGGTCGAAGTCCATCTTCTGGAACATCAAGAGCAAAGTAAAACTCCTCCACTTGGACTTGTTGAAACTAATGGGAATTGCTGTGTTCAGGACATATGAGGGTGTTCCATCAGGGGTTCCTAGCAATGTACGAGCAGATTTGGATAGCAAAAGAGCTGTTATAGTGCGATGGGATGCAGTCGAGAAGGATCAAGCTAATGGCAATGTTAGGGGCTATGAAGTACGTAAGTTTGCTTTTCTGGAAAGTTGTGCTGCTGACCTTCAAAGATTCTCATGCAGTCTCTCAATTTGTGATATACACTGGTTCCCATTAGCTGTAATTATTTTTCTTTTTCTGTACGAACAAAAATTGTAAATAGTTCAAATTTGATATATCTGGGCTTCTTATGAAATGGATCTTTCATTTGGTCCTGATTGCTCTTGCCAAATACTCCCAGATCCCACGCATGGTTCATGTCATTAGTAGAAGCTGCACAACTCCTTGCATTATCTTTGATGTTGACGGAGATCATTAGGATTTTTCTTCTTGGTCCGTAAAATGTTCATTTACTTAGGTTTTCCGTGGCTTATTTGATATTCTATGTATTTATTTTGTTCTTTCGCTCTAGTCACCTGCTTTACCGCTGACAATTTCTCGAACCAGAACGCCGAATCTTTCGAAGTGTATGTGCACATGTTTGGCCGCAATGTGTTTGTTTTCGCAAAATTTCTTATTTAGGTTCGTCTAGTGCCTGAACAGGAGTGGTTGCGAACAGATGAAACGCGAGCATTTAGTGTACAAGGGGCTACAGTGTTGTCGCAAAAAGTGGATGTTTGTTTATTTTTTTCATTTCATTTATTCAGAATCAATTGGGCTATGCACACTGACGCGCGCATCATATTAATTAGTCATTCAGCTGATCTGGATACGCAGTGCTGCGATTATGTAGTCAAAGCAACGATCGCCATAGAAGCTACTTTAATGATTGGCTCACAGAACTTTACTTATAGTATGGTAAAAGGAGCTCATTCTGTGTCGCTACTAACAATTGGATGTGCTTACCATCTTTATTAGCGAGGTCTCCGGAAAAGGCTAGTGACTCTTTATATCTCAAGGAGAAGCGGACTGCAAGAATGGGTGGATGTTATCAATAGAACTTTTTCTCTTAGATAAATCATGAGTAAGGCTCCCAGGTTGTTGGGCGGTTGGATGAATTCTGTAGCGAATGATGTCAAAGCAAAGAGAACCGTAATCCCTCATCGAGTCACAAACCTTGCTGGATAGCCGTCATAAAATTACAGCAATAAATGAACCGAACTTTCATCTCCTCATAATAAAGGAAGTCAATCGGTCCCCAACACTGCACTTACCATCGTTAGTAGAGGCTTCTAAATTAGGGGCGGTTGGATTTGTAGCCAGTAATGTCAAAGCGAGGAGGAACCGTGTTCTCTAATTTAGTCACAAACCTTGCTGGGTAGCGGTCATAATGTAAAAGCTATAAATGAGCCGAACATCATCTATTCATAATAACGAATCTTTAATCGGCTCCTATCACTGCACTACTACTACTAACTTTTTCTCACCCTACTTTACCATCCCATCTTGTCGAATGAAACATACGAAAGAGTCTAAACTACATACCTTTGACACCGAATTGACTTCTCCGTCGGGGTTCTATTTCGTAGATGAGTCTTGCTTTGTGGGGCCACTTATCACCTCTTATCAGTTGTTATCAGTTCGACCCGTCACACCCCACTTGTTACATGTCTTCCTACCACCTATCGTCAGTGTTCCCCCCCCCCCCCCCCCCCCCCCTCCCCTGCCACTTGTGTTCCTACCAAACTTGAACGCTCTAGGTCCGCGGGTACAGGATTTAAGAATTTCCGTGCAAACAGACAGACAGACGCGAGCGCTTCATATATAGTAAGGATGTTTCCGTCGGGACTGCAGGTCCTCGACTTCAGTTCGTCAGTATAAAAGTGCGTCATGGATCAGTAAAGATCACCGGATCAATTTCAGGGATTGAATTCTAAGGGAGTAATGGTCTACACGAGATTTCTTAGAGTCTCGTGATGATTGTCATCACTTCGTTGTTTTACGTTTGTGTTGGCAATGCGTTGTGATTGTAACGAACTAAGCATCGGAACTCGGCAGAGATTGAAATGAAAGTCGGCGGACCTTCAGTTTTTTTGGAGCTCATTATTGCTAGGATACAGCGGTAGGGCTTCGTGAATAGAAAGAAAGGCATTTTCTCTATAAACTCTCCCTGTAGTTTGCTCTTCTTTGGGTCCTCTTCTGATTCTTACGCTTTCCTTTCGAAATAATCTTACAGCTCGAACCAAACATGAAAATGAACATACAGGATTGTATGGCTGAGAACAAAGGAGAGTAAAAACATAACTTGAGTATGGGATCAAGTACCGTCTGATGCCGAGGCATTGTCCACTCGTTAACCTTGTGACACTTACGAATCATGTACTGCGCCGAAATCCTCACCATTATAAACTACTGCAGTTTGGTGTGTCTGTTTGTTTGTCTGTCCGCTTGTTTGTCTGCCTGTTTGTTATCTGTTTGTCTGTCACAAAATTCGGTGCCACCTGAAAGCTTTTAGAGAGATGGGACAATTTCGTGATGGGAGGAGCCTAAGGCAAGATCAACAGTGTGCATGTGAGCTCAGTGGAATTCCGCTCACAGGTGGCGGGGCAAGCGCTGGAATGGGCGGTGCTAAGGGCCAAACATCTTATTTTGGCGCAGACTTACTTGGATACTTGGATACTTGGACGCTCGTTGTCGGCTGATATTTCTCAGCAGCGAGCACACGCTTCCATCCATTTTTGACGATCTTGAGCGGTTTGGGACCAGTGTTGACCATCGTTTTCCTGAAGTTTCTTCAGTGAATCACTCCATCTCGTTGCAGGACGGCCTAGTGTGCGTTTAATCTCACGTGGGTACCAGAACGTGACGCGAGTGGTCCACCTGTCGTCCGTGCGTCTAACCACGTGCCCTGCCCATCGTTTCTTTGCGTTCCACGCGTACACTTCGGCGTCACGGATGCCGGACATTGAGCGCATGTCTGCGCTGCGGAGGTTAAGACTTCTCTGCTTTGCGCGGTTGATCTTCAGCAGCGTCCGCTCTAGAGCTCTTTGTGCGCGAACCAGCATTAGCGTTGACGTCTTGTTCTCCGCCCACGTCTCGGATGCGTAACAGAGTGCTGGCAATACCGTAGAGTCGAAAAGGTCAGCTCGTACTTTCTTGTCCGATACGAATGAGCCGCTTCTTTTATGTTTCCGATTGCCGCCCACGCGCATCTTCTGCGCCTCATAATTTCTGCACGCAGGTTGTTGTCCATGGAAATTAGACGGCCGAGGTACACATAGGAGTCGGTGAACGGTNGGTCTGCCCATCGCGTCCCTCATAACTGCGATGATCGAGCGAGAGTCATTAAGGTCCTTACGACATCGCTTGAGGCTCGCTCTCGCCTCTGCTGCTTCCTTCAGTCGGGTGTCCTTGTATCGCTGTATCGACTCTCTCACAGCGATGCGGCACGCTTTATTGATCGTAGCACGTTCCAGAAGTGAAGACGCAGAGTTACGGTAAACGGCAGCCCGTTGTTGGAGGAGGGTGCGAGCATTTCCATCGATCCTACTCCTCGAGTTGGCCCTTCCTGAAACAGCCGATGCCGTTGCGCAGTGCAGAAGTCCATTTACGAGCAAGTCGTAATCGTGTGTCAAGTCCTGCGCCTCCTGCCACGCGTACTGAACAGCTGCCACCTCCATGGCGCTAGTGTCATACCGCGGTAGTCGTATTGGAGGAGGCCGGAAGTGATCACGTCTTCGAAGTTTTGCTCGTAGGCGGATTTTGGCTCTGACGAGCCTATGGTCGCTTCCGGTGCGGAACGCTTCTACCACACTGACGTCCAGCAGACTCCACTTTCTGTTGGTGAGGACGTGGTCGATTTCGCTACGAGCCGCTGCATTAGGGCTCTCCCATGTCCAACGTCGATCCTCGTTTTTCACGAAGAAGCTGTTTCCGTGGAATAGGTTGCATGCCTCTAAAAGGTCCATCAAACGCTCTCCATTCTCGTTCGTTACTCCTATTCCATGTGGTCCAGTGCGTGCTGTTGCCAGACTTTCCTCGTGGATGACTGCGTTGAAGTCCCCAACAACGTACTTGTAGTATGATCGCTCGTTTTTTGTAACCTCCTCCAGTTCCTTATAGAAGGCGTCCTTTTCTCCGTCGGTGGCTGTTGACGTTGGCGCATAGCAGTTAATAATGCTGACTGTGGTGCGCCTGTCGATGCGTAGCCGGAGAATGGCCAGTCGCGGACTGAGTACCTCTGTTGAGTCGATCAGATGTTCGATCCGACGATGGACCAAGAATCCCACGCCTCCGACGTTTTTTCCGTCGACTTTCGCTCCTAGAACGAAGAGGTGCCCGTCATTGGTCTTCTTGATGGCCGTTTCCTTGGTTTTCGTCTCTTGAAGAGCAATGACGTCGAAGCGAAGCCTCTTGCTGGTCTCACTCAAGATAGTTTGGTCCGCCTTCGAGGCAATGGTACGGCAGTTGTAGGTACAAATTCGTAAGCAGTCTCCATGCCTCGAAGGTTTTTCGTCCTGTGCACTCCAAATCCTGCGGCGGTTTTTGTCTACAGGTCCCTTCAGGTCGCCCTTTGCTCCAGTGCACTTGGAGCTCGTACTTCCATCTGCGCCGCTCCGGACCCTCATTGTGCGTGTTGGAGCTGTTGTACCGTCCTCGGGTAGCTAGCCCATTTTGAGGCGGTTTTTACCTCCACTGTTAGCCGGAATTCCTTCCGTTTCGCCCCCTCGCCACTTCGAGGCCAGTGGTAGGATTTGGGGGGGTTGGCGCAGACACCGGAAAAAAATAGGCGAAGAAAAGAAATGTGTCAACAAATCAAATGAAAGAGATCCGCCTGTTGTGGGCGGAGCGTCATAGAAATGGGCGGTAAATTTCATATGAGTTCATAACTCCATTTTATTGAAGGCGTGGAATACAGAAAAGATAAAGAACGTGGCTAAGGCCTAATACGTGCTACGCATGCGCAATTTCAGCGAAGCTTCCCCACGAGGGGCGGGGCGTGCGCTAAAATGATAAACATTTTTCAAAAATGTGTACGATTCTCTTCAAAAACATTCTAGAGCGCGGAAAAAAGAAGGTCAGAGGCTGTTGAAGAAGTGTTGCCAAATCTCCGAAGTGGGCGGGGCTAAGATCAAAAATTCATAACTCTGTTCAGAAGTGTTCTAGAACGCGGAAAAAGATGGTCAGAGGCTGACGAAGAAATTTTGTCAAGTCTCCCAAGTAGGTAGGGTTTGCACCGATGTGGGCGGGGCTAAGATCAAAAGTTTACAACTTTGTCCAGAAAAGTTCTAGAAGACGGAAAAAAGATCAGAGGCCAGAAAAGAAGGTCAGAGGCCATTGAAGAAATGTCGTTGGATCCTTGAAGTGGGCGGGGTTTGCATTAGGCGGCGTAAGCATAATTCTTGATTCATTATACGCTATCCAGAGGAGTGTTTTGAAGTATCCCTTTTACATATCGTGTACTACTACACTACAGAAGGCCATCTTGCGAAAATTCGATTCACATCATTTCAGGTAATGGGCTTGCGCGCGTTCACTAGCTACTTGGTTTTTGTGTCCGCTTGTACCATAGTCGGATGTGGACCGGAGAATAGGATACCCACCGTGGTGTTGACTCCAGAAGATGGTGTGTTGTTCCCGTTTTAATCAAGAGAATTCATCAGTCTCCTCTTATTTCATCTGACAAAGGACACTGAAGTCTTGCTTGCTCTCGTAATCTTCTATAGCAACAGTTCCAATTTTAGTCCCAGGAGTACCGTCCGGTGTTGCATTCTCTTTTATCAGCGAAAACGAAGTACGTCTCAAGTGGATGCCTCCAGACAGCCCCAATGGAAAGATTAAGGTGAGATATTGCATTTAGGAAGTTGCAGCACGAGTGTGCTTGAGTGGAGTGTTGAGGAATGACAATGGTTGTACTATTTCAATCGTTCATTGCGTTTACGGCTGGTATGATAAATGACACAGAGTGCCACGCCTTGACCTCGTTATGCACGGGTGTGCCTATATATTACATCATTTTTGTATGAAGATCATTTCAGCAATAGTTTTTCAATTATTTGTAAGTTTCTGTATTCGATCGCTTATAACATGATCGCTATTGCTGTGCATTACGAAAATGACATAGTTATGCTAGCGTCACTGAATAATTAATTTTCGAACCAAAAAGTGTGAAGTTCCCGACTCGTTATTCGCACACAGCTGGGCAGTAGCTTGCAGTTGTTTACTGTTAAAGACACATTTAACGATAATTCTGGAGTATAATGGTTAGACGAATAGTATAAGTTATAACATAGAAATGTAAAAGTGACGGAGAAAGCGCGAGAATCGGCGTAGTCAGAGAAATTTGGGGCTTTATTAAAGTACTAAAAAGAGTTATTGGACGATAATGTGTCAACAAAAATAGCATGGAAGTGTTATTTGAACGATCTGTACAAATATGTGTGCTACTGCTACAGCTGGCTACAGTGAGCTGTCTACATACAAAGTGTGCGTCCCGTCTCGGTGCAGTAAATTAACCTCCGCAGCCTTCATGACGCCGTGAGAACTCGTCCGTTTTTGAGTGTGTGCCTCGGCTGAGCCAATTTTGGGGTCCTTATTACATTATATCTAGACCGTTTTTTTGATCCGACGGCGTCACTTGCTCCTTGCTCTACTTATGGGAGTCACAGGTTTTTTATGGGGAGGAGTCTCTGAAGCCATTTTAATCGTGAGCTATGCCATCAAGGCTTTACTACTACACTACATGCTGCATGTTAGTGCGGGTGAAAAGTGGAAAAACTTTGCTTAGGTTGTGTGGGATCGCACTGATATTGAGAGGGCTTTATCTCAATTAAAAATGCTGCCGCTGGTTTTCGATTCTCTCAAAATGAGAGATTAAGTATATATATGAGCTTAATCGGGAATTCATTGTGCAAAAAAGTTATTGGACGATAATGTGACAACAAAAATAATATGGAAGTGTTATTTGGAAGTGTTGTGTCCTTGGGAGGTCGGGAAGAGCAGGAAGGTTTATTAGAAG